TTGTCGAAAACGCTCGCTCCAAACTTAAAAGAAATATCCATTCTCGTTAAGGTAAAAATTTCTCTACGCTGTTACGTCGAAAAAATCTAACCGAAAAGCCTAATTTCAGAAATATAGACGAATAAAGTTTACTGTGTAGAACGATTTCATAGGCACTTGCTTTTCCGTTACTTTATTTCGTATATGCCCCTTCAATCGTAATATAATTGCCCTACTGGTTGGAGAACAGCCTGTTGTATGCAGTAGGAAGGAAATATTCTAATCCACAATTGAAATTTAGAATGTAAAAGAAATAATACATAACTATATTGCAATGGAACGTCAAGATGGAAGAAAAATTGAAAAAACTATTTAAAAGCTGCCTATTCAGAGTAATGTTGATCAAATATTGCAACGAACTGTCGAAATTTAGAATCTTCTACAGCCGATAATAACGGACAATGCGGTATTATTATAGGATCACGCACTCACACCACTTCATTTCGCACATGTATCATTACATGGTTTACACTATGTCACATCACTTTTTTTCACATGTAGTATATTACCACCGTAAAAATGTTCACAGTTAGTAATCTTGAACTTCATAAAGTAATTAAAACGTCAATCAGCGATATCACTACTTCACGAAACGTTCTGAGATTTAATGTTTCATTTCGACGCGTGAGAATATTCCACCATGTTACCGTTATGCCCGTTTGCCGCCAACTGGAAGTTGGCTGCAGCCGGATATGCTAGGTATTTTTGTAGCGGGAAAATGATGCATCTTTGAAATAGCTATGTGATAAGGTAACCATGTAAAATATCAAACTTTGTCTCTTATATTTAATAATGTCAATGAAGCAAATATAAATATATTTCTGCTGCGAAAAATTCCAAATTTCTATAATTAATTCATAAACTGAAATTATTAATTATTCCATTACACTAATGGAAACACAAACCATTAGAATCTTTGGCAATGGTTCAAACACTCTATGCAATAATCACCAATAATGAATTAAATAACAATGAATTCAAATACAGACTTATATTAGAAGGCTCGCTAAGGCTGTGTCTTCACGATGCAATTATAAAAGTTGATGAATTAATTATAGACGAACATTAAGTCACCGATGAAGGCGAGTGATTTTGTTTTTGGTATAAAGAAAATGAAACTACGATGGTTAGATACTTAGGTACCTTTTATTCACTTTGAAAGTTTCACATATTCACGTTAATTATTAACAACATAATTCTTTGGTTATTTTTTTATATCTCTCAATTTATTTTTTATCCTTTCCTTCATTACCTGGAAAATATAAATATAAGACAGTCAATGAAAAATCCTACTTTCTATAACATAGTTATAATGTAAACAATAAACTAGCTCTCTTTCTTTATAACTTCTAATTCTTCTTGAGTTTTTACTTCATCGTCACTTTCTCAATCGCTACCATAGTCTCCCTTCCTTTCTTTATTTGCAAGTCCAGATGGTTCAACAGCTGGTTGTGAGCTTCATTTTGAATCACTTAAATGAACACGAGCTGATTTGAACTTACCACTAACCTTTTTATTTAATATCACAGATTTTTCTACATCTTCCTCTGCTTCTTCACCAAATGTTAAAGGATTGAAATTTCTGTAATAAAATTTTTCATTGCAAAGAATAATACTATCATGGCTAAATGCTACAAACATATAAATGACTTCTACTTTACTCTTGCTGTCTTAGTTTTTGAATTGTCCTTTACTTCTTCACTTTCCTGTACTATTATTCTTGGTATAATATCAGAAAATGGATGGTTCAATATATAATTTTTATCAATCTTGCAGGATAAAGTGGTCCATCATTCTAAAAAAAAGGAGAAAATATTATACTGATATCAATTCTTGTTATATTTTCTTGTAAACGTTAAATTTGCCTCATCGACAAGTGCTTTTTCACGTTTAAACATGTTATATATAGATTCTCCAGTAACTTTACCAAAGATTGTATGTTTATTCTGCAAATCTGGTGTAGAATTAAGAATAAAGAAGAATTGGGAATCATTGTCATCTTTTCCAGCATAAGCCATAGCAATTAAAACTCATGGACGAAAACGTAATCTTGTATAAAATTTGTCCTAAAACACATAGATCCAATAATTATTTTTGAGTAAAAAAGGAATTCCTTTCATTTTTAAATATAGTCTCACCTTAAATGGTTCTCCATATATTTTACCACCTTCTCCTGTACCTATGGGATCACCACCTTGTGTATGAAATATAAGGTCATGGTAATAACCTTCCACATATAATTGTATGAAATTTCTACATATCTTGGGAGTTTCTTTTGCCCATAATTTTAACTCAATATCACAAACAGTTGTACTCATTGTAACCTAGTTATGACAAATATATTAGCTTCATTAATGTAAAATACTTTTAAAATCAAATTTATCTAAACTTAATATTTATTATTGTGATTCAAATTGGAAATTATTAAATATATTAATATAGAAATTTAGAAAGTGAATATTGTACATCGGTTAAATTTTTGAAAACAGATATACAATCCATTGAAATATTATTAAATGATAATTATTACTTTACCCTTAGTGGCTGACTCTTGCATGTAAATATTACTTATGTTTGTAAGTCTCCTATAATAAAAAAAATCATGCAACATTAATATTTCATACCAAATATCTAGTCATTTGTATATCAGTCAACCAAATGATTCTTATCTCGGATAATCATCAGCAGGTAAGACATACCTTTTACCTCCTTTTGACATTGGCTGTATTAGCCCAATATAGTCCATGACGTGCCACAGCTCCATTATTCTTGCTGCTTTTATATTTTCCAAGTTGCCATAGATATTTCTACACATTTTTGCCTTAATGCAACATTTATTCAGTATATTTAAATTATGTTTATCTTTAATAAATATTACCACTTGTTCATTCTCCATCTCTTCAACGATCCTCATATTTCCATGTCGATGCCACACGTATTTCTCTGTTGATACATATGCTGCTTCTTTTTTGCTTCTTGATTCCGCATAACATGCGTTTCCTCTTGTCACTTCTTTTATTCCAATTTAACACATTAGCGATGATCATTGACTTTGACCACTGATATTAGTATTTATTTAGATTAGGAATACAACATACCTTTCAATCTCACTGTATTCTCCATATCTTTTTGTCACAAGAGGCCATTACCTAAATTAATTCTATTCCTTTTTGTCTGCCTAAACCAGCGTCATCTTCTGAATCTTTATTTGACCATCAAAGATTTCTATCTTGTATGTCATATGGCTACCGCACTTGGAATCCAATAGACGTATCGTACTTTACATATTATATATGTATCGCTGCTTTAATTTTTTCTCACTATGAAATATAATTCTTGGCATGTACGCTGATGATATTCCATGAGTCCAATAATCAAGCTCTGCTATCACTAATGAAAGATGGGAAGACAGTGGCTCGTAACTTACGCTATTTACTTACAACTAAAGGTTATGTCATTACAAATACTTACATGTTTTTCGTAATGCAGGAACAACTGCATGGACACAACAATGCTTTGGTTAGACTCGAAGCTCGAGTCCCGCAACGAGATCGGCAGTGGAAAATTCACTAATTACTCAATATCGGTGATTATTTTACGAACTTTTATAATTGCATCGTAAAGCCAGATCCTTCAAGAACTTTCCAATATATTTTTTGATATAAATTTATTCCTGATTAATTAATTATTAATAATTATTCTGAGCAGTGTTTGAATTGTTGTCGAAGACGCCATTGGTTTTTCATTAATTACTGTACTCTACGTAATTAATTTATGAAACTTTATGCACTCGTTAGAAAGACAATGTTCTTGCGAATCTTCTCAAATAACTTTTGATCACATTTTGCTTCTAGTTTCGTTTAGTATTAAATATTTTCACGGAGGATCGCGATGGTCGTCGTTACGAAATCATAGACGCCATAAAACAAAAATTAATAACTAACAATTTAGAGCTAAATTATTTACGAAAGTTATATAAGAATGTAGCCTGAAGTTGCTGCTTCGCAATGAAATTATAAAAGTTCACAAATTGTTTACGGAAATTGAGTAAATAATAATTCTTCACTGCCGGAGCCATTCTGTCCTTTTCTATCCCCACTCTGTCCTTTTCAGTCACATGACCAGCACTTCGACGACCTCCTTACCTATTCTATATTGCTATTACTTTTCCGAGCAAATGGTCCAAAATCATAGATGGTGCTGATCGCAAGCGGTAAAATATTTATTCGATCTAAATACCTTTTCTGGTTATGCATTAATAATTCACATTAATAAATTAATTCGGCATTAGAAAATTAATAAATTTCCAAGTTTTTGTAATTATTTCATCAACATTTATAGCTGCGTACCAAAGTTGGAATTATAGACAACATTCTTATACAATGTTTAATTTAATAATTAATACTTAATGAGGGATAGGTTTTATATTTCCTCAAGTAAATAAGCTTGCTGTAGAAAAGTGTTTTTTTAGCATAATATTCTTATTATTGTGTAATAAATATATACTAGTATAAAAAAGCGTTAAAAATAAATTTTTTTATTAAGAAATTTTATTTACAATTATGTATTTACATTGTTTTCATAGGCGAAAAATGAATACAAAATAAAAAGTGGATTGAAAAAGAACCAGTAACAACTGGAATCGAACCCGGGACCTCAAGGATAGGAATTCTCGACAGTTTCTGTTAGGCTACAACTGGAATTATAAGTTGGTGGAAATAAAGATATAATTAGAGCTGTAACAAAACTTTAATCGTAAATATTTCAAAAATTATTGAGTAATTGCAGTTATAATAATATATTTTCTTAAACTGCATCACGATATCTACAAACCTGAAAAGTTTCAACTAAATCGATGATCCGAAGGACTTGCACTCTACTTGTTAGAGATAAGTGTCATGAACGTTACAAGTGTGTTTCATCTCAAATATGTTTATCAATCATTGTTCAAATATGTGAAACTGGAACAATTGCAGGTAATATATCTAGGAACTTTCTTTGAAAAAGTGTATAAGAAATCAGTATGAGACGTTTCTTTGTTGGTCAGCATGAATCGTGAAACGTGTATTCGTTAAAGAGCGAGATCATGTTCGACACCGAACAACCAGATAAGTAATGTCACGTAGTTGTTATTAGAAGTATAATTATAGTTGGGGGACTTCGATGTACTGTAAATTACACAAAAAAGCGTCAGAATGGCGAAGTAAAGTTGCAAATGGAAAATGGCGAAAATCGTGAAAGGATCCGAATCGTTGCCTACGGTTCTGATTTGTGAATATTGCGCTAACCTTACGTTCAAGCAAATCGAAGATTTTATAAGGTGGGTCCACCTGTTCATCTGTGTATTTACAACAAAACATATCCTGTAAAAATAATTTTATTCCGAGAGAATGCTGTAAAAATAATGCAATAAATCATTTGTTAGTTTATTATAAATTTTCGATATGTCTTTACGAGATACAATATACAACATTCACTTATATTTAAATCGTATTATCATTAATTGTTAGTACGTTAAGACTAATGTTTTTTGTAAGATAAATTATACGTTTGGGAAACGAAGTATAGGAATAAATAAGATTATTAATTAACAGTATGTAATTTTATTTCAGACATTTAAGAGACCAGCACTGCTCTAGGGAAGGAGGTTCATTTGTGTGCCTTTATGGTTATAATGGAGTATGCACTAGTCTTCCTGTGGAGGGTGTTTCTGATAAAGATTATGTAGCACATGCTACTAAACACGCAACCATGCAACAACAAAGTAAAAGCAATGGCCAATTGTCAGAACCTTCTTCCTCATGGACTGTGTATTCTGCTGCACAGAATTTACCAGCTGTTTTAAATGACCCCTTTAAAGGGAAACAAAGTAACTTTTTAACTCGTACTTGGGGAGATGGATTTGTAGAAAAAGTTGATATACCTAAAAGTCCTTATCTTCCTGAAATCACAATGCAACATTTTGAATCATATTTAAAGAAAATTACAAGGGTAATAAATATGGCTATGATAATTAAGAATATATTTAGCGTATGAAAAAATAACTGACTGAAGCAATTTTTATTTACAGAGATACCGAAAACATTCTCGTATGAATTCAAATGCTAATAGACCAACTACACCTAATGAATTGTTACAAAATTTCCCAAATTTGAGAAAAGTTAAATCTTTAGGCAAGGATAATATTTCTGTAATAAAAATAAGTAAAAAAGTGAAATCTTTAGTACGTAATATAAAATTATTAAATTAAAAATTTACAGATCGAATGCAGTTTGATTTATCTAATATACCAAAAATCTTTTTAACACCTAATTTGGATCTTTCTCAAAAAGATAATTTTTATGCTGTATTTCCATTTACAAAGAATGGTCTACTAAATGAAGATGCCAATATTGTCATGAATGTAAAACAAATGCAAGAGAAGGTATATCATTAATATTAAATACCACATAAAGTATAAAAACTAAGATAAATAGTATATTTCAGAATTTATTCTTGTAACAGCTAAGTCACTATTTAGATGTTGTGGAAGTTAGAATAGCTGAACAAGTTGCTTCTAAATCTCAAGCATTTTTTCATGCTATGACTTCTCATGATGCCCTAATGGAGCAACTTGCGCAAACTATTACTGTATTAAAAGCTCTTAGAAAAAATATACATCAAGTTGATAAACATCTAGTCAATGATTCTTTAGAAATCTTAAGGTAAAGTATGAAGGTATTTAATATTTTTTAGATATTGTACATATTATATAATTTGAATACACTTCTAGATTGGAGAGAGCAAGATTTAATCGATTGTTGGTTCAAGAAAAATTGAAGCTTATGGCTACAGTACACCAAAGTCAACCAATGATACAATTATTGTTATCTACACCAGACTATGTTGCAGCATTAGATCTTATTGCTACAACACAAGAAATACTCTTACAGGAATTGAATGGAGTACATAGTTTTAGGTATATATTAAATATAAATTCATAATAAAATATCAAAATTAAATAAACTTAACTTAAACTTAACTTAAATTTCTTTTTTTTTTGTTTTTATTCAGGCATTTAAGTTCTCAGTTAACAGAAATGGAAAAACTTGTTGATAAAATGTTATCTACGGAATTTCAAAGATATGCAACTGCAGATTTAAATAGACCATTAGGGGGAGAAAATACAGTTTTGGATGGTGTAAGTATATGTATAGTTTTTGAAAATTTTGTACACTTAGTTCGTAGCAAAAAAACCGTCGTGCATCTCTTCCCAGTGAGATCATTTGTACATCCTCAACGAACAGGATAAACTTGTTTCCATCATTTCTGGTCTTCTACGGCAAAAACATTTTCAATTTGTGGATACATATAAAGAAGAAGCTGTGACGACAGTCCGAGCTGTAACAAAACAGAGAGTTATAGAAGCTTTAGCAGCGAGTGATTGTTGCAGTGATCAACAAGCTGCAGCTTTGGAAGTTGGTGGACTTTCTCTCGCGGAAAGATTAACATTACTCCATAATGCTATACAATCTTTAACATTCCTTTTAATGCGAGTTAAGGTATATATTAGATTAATAATATTGCATATAATTTTTACATACAAATGAGACATAAAATTATTTTTATTCTTTAATAACATATCATAAGTACTTGACATAATATACATTTTTAGGCTGTTCACGATGTAATGCGAGATACAGTAGATCTTGCGGCAGGTCGAATATGTGACGGCAGTTTCGATGATACGATACCTGATCGTTTATTAACTCGGATAGAACATTCGCGAGTAACAATCAAACTCAATGATATGATTACTTCCGTCTGTGATTATTGTCATGAGCGAATGGGAAATCTGCTTTCTGCAGGTGCAAATGATAAAGATAAATCACAAAATGAGAAGGAAAAATTGAATAATGAAAATTTAAATAATAAACAAGAAGAAAAAGAATGTCAAAGTTGGAATGATAAATCTTCTTGGTTGAGTAAAAGAGCAACAACGGCTCAAGTATGTCAACTAGCCAATTTAGTTGAAGAATTTACAGAAACTTGTGAAAAACTCTGTGGTAAACAATGTACAGGATTGCGGTCTGCATTCAAGGTACAAACTGTTTATAAATTATAAATGTTTATTAACGATATACAATTATCCTTTTTTTTTCAATAATGTAGGCACAAGCTAGTAAATTCATTCAAAGATTTCATACTGAACTCAAAACGAAACTTACACTTTTATTGGAATCTGAGAGATGGAAGCAAGCTGAGGTACCGCCGGAATTTCAATCATTAGTAACATATGTATTTGAAAATAATACTTTTCCACCAAATCCATTTAAAGTTGATGACAAAGTCAAAGACAATGTTAAAAAAGATAATATTCAATATTTCATAATGGTTGGAGATGAAAAATATGCTGTTGTTGGCACAGCTTTAATGCTTATACAAATGATTCACGAATATTGCAGGTAATTTGTAAATTCTAAATTTATAAATGTTTCGAGGGAAGTTAAGTGAAAATTTTTACTTTTAGAACTGGAAATGAACTAGTTGCTTTATCAGGAACAATTGGAAGGCACTTAGCTGAATTATTGCGGCATTATAATTCACGTTGTTGTCAACTTGTCCTTGGGGCTGGTGCAATGCAAGTTGCTGGTTTAAAAACTATTACCAGTACAATACTTGTATTAGCAGCACGTAGTTTAAAATTAATTCTATGGTTTATGCCTTTTGTTAAGTTACACTTTCAAAGTAAGTTAATTGTTATGCAATATTCAACTTACAATACAAATGTGATATTAAGTTAAGATTTATTCATAGTGTTTGCGGAACAAAACCCTAGTCGTGGTGCGTCTAGTATAAGCGGTGGTGTTGCTTTATTGGATAGTGTCGAAAGAGATATCCGTGCACATGTGAAAGAAATTGAAAGCAAAATTCTTACAATTGTCGACAATCTATTAGGTGGTCAGATATCTAAGTGGACTGCGAGGCCGCCGGTACCATCGAAATCATTTAGAAACATCTCTAGGTAAATACTGTATACTTCAATTTTGTTATTATGATTGATATACATTTAAAATTGTTAATTACAGTTATTTAATGAAACTACATGAAGCAGTTTCTGGAATTCTCCCGGCAGTTGAAGTACAAACTCTATATCGTACAGTAAACACATCCTTTAAAGAAAAACTTAGAGAGCAATTAGTCAAAATGAATATAGTAAATAATGGTGGTCCACAACATGGTGTAGTTACATCTGAACTTACATTTTACCTTGAAGCATTGAGAAAATTAAAAGTACTACCAATTAATGAGTTAGATGACAATTGGATGAGTGATATATGGACCAGATAACATGCAGAGCGCGTGATATATTGCATAATAGAAGCAATGAAATATTGTAGAAAAAGGTGACTAATCTTTATTACAGTCTTCCTTCACATGCATTGTATCTCAGTGACTTAATATTTTGATGAATTTTAAGAATGTGGCTTGTATTGGAATTATCCATATAAATATTTATAATTATTTTATTCATGAGGTTGTATGGAAAATCGATTTGGAAATATTAATATAAAGAATTCACAAGCAGAATTTTTATAAATACTCCATTCGATAGTCTGAAAATATGTGTAAATAGTAAACATGGTATTACTTTTATTGGTTGTTGACATTTTAATACAAATTACAAGTTAACTTAATTACATATATTTTACGTCTCCCAAACAATCTTATACGCCATAGTGTTCAAATGTAAAATTTCAATACATAGGTATGAATAACAAACAAAATCCATATAAATAGTAGAAAGTTATTTTCTTCCATACCTATAAAATTTAATATACAGAAATTATTTGCAATTGAATACAATAGTAAGCATGTTAGATATTTGTTACTGTTACTTATAAAATGATTCAAATCAATTCGATTTAGCATAATGTGTGCAAAAAATGAGCATATGGTAGAAGGACCAAGACAGGTACTAATTTATGTATTCATTTTTCTATAGCTATTTACACGTTATTTATACATCTTCTATTCTTTAAAATTGTAGTCTCTTTTGAAGTAGTACACAGTATGAAATAAAATATGTACACATTTTGTTAATGAGACATATAAAGACCTAAAAACAAACATAAGACGTGAAATATACAATCTGACTGCTTTTGTGTTGTGTTCATTGCTTGAATTGACTGTAAAGAGTGTGTATCAGAGAGACACTGATAATAATTATTTAAACATTTTTATATATTGTGTACTGTTTGCACTAATCTGTTTTTATTGACAGATTATTAAATTAGATTTTAAATAGTAAGCATGACTTACTGTTGAAGATATTATTTATTAGAAAGTATTGATATGGGGATTTTTATCAGTTTTTGAAATGCCCTGTTTCTCATACTTTTGTGCATAAATGTATATGTACATGTGTAACAAATGTATACATTGTAAATCTACAATTATAAAAAAACTGGGTAATAATTCACAAAAAGATAAAAAGTAAACAATTTAGTGGTATTCAATTTTTCATCACATCTCTTTATTTATATTAAAAGAATAAGAATAATTACAAATTACTATTTAATCATATTTTCATAACCAAATATAAAATTATTAGTTGTTACATGTTCTACATTCTATAACTAGTGTATAAATTGTACAATTATGATCTGGCATATTCATATAATATTTTAACTTTATTTATAGTACTTTTAATATATCATCTATTTCCAAATTATACCATGCATTCCATTATTACTTTCATCTAGTCAATTCTATATATAAATAAAGATATTACAATAACTGCTTTTGTTTGAATTACTTGTCAATTGCTTATTTTGAAAAAAGCATTATAATTTAGTAGAAGTTGTAAAACAAGTTTTACTATGTATATTTTAAATTAACAGTCATGTAAATAGTTAGGGTTAATTGATATAAACAATATTATATTACAATTCATTGATAACATCTTGCTGAATATTTATATGAGATTAGAATGACATACTTCACTGTTTTATTACATAGTGTACAATGTATTGCAGAATTATACAGAATTAATAACAAAATTACATACAAAATATATGTATTTAATATGTTTTATAATTATTTACTGTTTATATTAATTATATAATTGATATTCAGTTACTTGAGCATAGCACAAATATTAATTTTTACATTTAGTTGAATCTTTTATGTTGCTGTAGCAACGAATATCAAAACATTTTCATAACCTAAATGCAAACAGTATACACGAAACAGTTTTACCACTGTGTATTTATTACAACTTGTAATTTATAACGTAATATTTATTTTCAAAAATTTGGAGTAAAAAACAAATGGCAGATCAAAATTCGTATGTATTTATTGACATATATTCTTATTAGCGGAATAATTACATAGTAATACTTACATATGCTTGCCATATTGTAATTGCGTTTTTACAATTTTTACAATTGCTAATATTTAATACATTTAAAAATAGCATATTTTTACTGTTTAGATAGCTACAAACATATGTAATTACACGTTATTTTATTATTATTGAATTTTCATTTTATTTATTGAATAATATTAACTAATATTGAATTAAAATTTGTTGTACTTACGTAAACTGACATTTTATTTTCTAAATATCAGTAACGAAAATATACTATTGATTATGTTTTAGTGAACAAAACGTTAGAGACATTGCTTTGCGTGTTTGTTTAGAAGACGAGCAACGACGTAAGACTGATCCAAATGAAACACACGAACGTTCTATTATCATTGTTGGTGGCAAGAGTGTCGTACGTAATATTTAAACTGAACTATTAAATAATATTACAATCTATACACCTATATACTTGCATTCATGAAAAGGAAATATGAATTCCTAGGGTAAAACTACGATAATACATCGATTTCTTGAAAAAGATGAAACACCAAAACCAACTATTGCACTGGATTATTCTTTTGGACGTAAAGCTGGAAAGAGTTTAGTAAGTTTTCTGTTTATTTGAATGCCGTTTCATTTAAATAACAAATATATAAAATATACAAATTTTGAATAATTTTTAGAAGATTAAATAATAGTAATTTATTAAACAAATAAATAAAGTATATTTTCCGATTTTAGAAAGTATCGTAATTCCGATAATTTGAATTATTCATAAACAAATAGTTAAAAATATTCTGAATACGAAAATGTAAATAATCATGGTATATCAGTAATTAAGATAAAAAGTTTTAAACGTCTAGATTTGAATCTTTTTATTTCGTAACGAATGTTTATGTATGTACGCAAATAAGTGATGATCTGTTTACATAACACAACAATTTATGTAATATAATTCTGTGACAATATGTTAACAACTTTTATTACTGTACAGTTACGACCAGTGACAAAATGCATGGAACAAAGAAAGACATGAAATTCATTATTACGTAACTTTTCATAGCTATGTTATAATTTTAAAAATATTTAATTGAAATTTGTTTTTTTTTTAACTTTTATTATCGGTACAGATAAAAAATATCGTGCATGTTTGGGAAGTAGGGCAGTTAACTTCCTCGTTATTGTCAGCTGCAATGACAGGTTCGTCTTTAACCCATTCTCCATATCATGTGACGATATTGGTTGTATTGGATTTATCACAACCGGAGATTTTGTGGAATACATTAGAAGAAGCTCTTTCGGTTGTTCGTAGCGCAATGAAAATGAGTTACGATAACAAAATGATTCAAGAGCTTAAACAACAGCGTATTAAAGAAAGGAAAAAAGCAGTGGAAAAAGAAGTTGATCCATTTCCATTGAAACTTTGCTTTATAGGTGGGAAATACGACCAATTTAAGGTACCTTAATCACTTTTTCCAATATAGTATAATCTATAAAGTACATTCACCATAATATTATAATTGTACTCTGTGTAATTATACGAATTATTAAAATTATAATTTTATTAAATTTATTAAATTGCTTTTATTATTATTATTATAAACATTTATAAAATTAAAACTGTTACAAAATTATATATTCGATAATTGTGAAATAGGATTTAGGCTTCGATAAAATAGAACTAGTCGGGCAAACGTTACGAGCTGTAGCTCATATTTTAGGAGCAGGACTTTATTATCATTCCGCGAAAGATAAGTCTTTATTACGAAGAACTAAAGATTTGTTATCTCACTACGGATTTGGCACTCAATTATCGTAAGTTTATGTGTCAGTTATCAATATAATGGGAACATATTACGATATTTCAAAATTTTTATATGAAATTGACTTTCTTCCTCCCTTTTGAAAATGGTAAATCAGCGACATCAAGTGTATGGATTTCGAGAAGCCATTAGCAATGTCGGCCGGTGCTGACTCCTTCTCATCGATCGATTTGCAATTTCCTCAAAGCAGATCTTCGGCTATCTTAGATACCATCAAACAGATTTACGTTACTCGTATACCGCAAGAGTCAAGAAGCAACGAAATTGTTCTAGAGGATCCAAGTAACGATCCCAACTTTAATGAACCGATCATCGATAGATTACGATCTCAGAGAGAAGAGGTATACTACTAAATAATTTAATTAATATGTTGTAAAGAAGGAAGAAACGTGTTTTTCATCCTTTTTTCTTACTTTTTTAACTTATAAATGTTTTATTAATCACATTAGTTACATTTCAGAAAATTCTAAACTCTATATTTTAAAGTAATTGTTGACAATAGGCTTTTGTTTAATATTACGAACATAGTGATTATTTCTTTCAAAATAGTGAAAATAGTAAAAAGTAATTTATTTGTAGGAAATTAATATTCTTCTTCACGATATGTTAGAAGGGCGCATACCGCAAATTCCAATTCCGGATCCATCATGAGGTTAGATAATGTTTTGCTGCAAGAATTTGTTATGGATATGTGACAAGCGAGAGAAATCTTTCGAGTAAAAGAAATTCTCTTATAATATATGTTCGTCATATATGTGATCTTGCTGAGGTTGAAAGAAATTTTCGACAAACAAAAAATTCCACTCAAATTTCCTTATTTGATTTGTATTTAACATAATACCAATAATAAATAAGTAAGAATTTGTAAGTTTGCAATTATCTGTATATAGAATTTAGTTGTATACTATTAATGGCAATATTTTATATCAGTTAGATTTTTTTTAAGATCATTTGATTTCGGCTCAACATCATACAAATCATAATTATCATAGTCGAAGTTTGATCTTAAATTTGAGTGAGGTTTTGCATTTATATGATTATTAGGTTTATGCACACACGTTTGTGTAGAATTTATAAAATTAGTCTTGTTATATTGCGCCATCTCTACTTTGTATGCTGAATTAGAACTAGCATTACTGCTTACAATCGCTGCGTCGATAAAATCATATGGTAAAGTATATTTATCACATATAAGTGATATATAAGTACATAATTCTATACAAAGTACTTTGTTAATTCTTTCGAATATAATAGTTTCCTATTAAAATCAGAAAAATAATTAAGAATAACAATAGTGATATTTCGTAATCGAATAAACTTAACAAATTGAAGTTTTTAATTAATAATTATAATTTACATATTTTCATTCTCATTGTGAATATTTATAGTCAGCAATATGTTATCAATTGATTCCAAAAGGAGAGTCACGATACTTTGAATTTATGTATCATCAGATATGATTGTGAACACTGCTTCATACCTAAGATTATACTACCTTGTATCAATTACATATCCACTTTTATCAATACTGATTTGCATAAGAAAAAATTCAAATCCTCTTTCTTACATTCTTTAAACCAATTTCAAATATTCAATGGCAAATGAATTCATCAAAGGAATAATTGTTTATTAATTCAAATATGATTTAACAAATTTGTCGTATCATAGATATGAACCATGTTCTCCGTCATAACAGTTTCAATAAGTTTTGTATTTGTAAAAGTAAAGCTAGTGATTTTTCTCTAAATCAATCATTTAAATGCGATTTCCATACTCGGTAGAGATGAAATTACACGTTCTCGTGTCATCGCGCACGCGTCTGTTCTTTCGCCCTTTCCAACAGCAGTTCACCGTGAAATCGAAGGGTGTATAGGGTGAGCTGGAGCGGCGAAGAAGGGTGGGGAGGGTATTGTCGCACGGCTCCCGATTCCTAGTGGCAGTAGAGTAGTGCGCTGATAAGAGCAGCGGTAGCGAACAGTGACGCGTGCGCGTTACGCTGCGATGCGCATGCGCGTCGAGGTACACGGGTCGCTCCCGATACGCGGATAGTTGGAGTCGAGCGTTTACGAAAACGGGATCCGACTGGGGGGGTTTTCGCTGCGTCGCGGGCCTCTCGCTTTCTGGCCTCGGTTTCCTCAGTGAAAATGCCGCTGTGATAGAGAGGCGCGCGTGCCGTGTGCTCTGTCCGGGCTTGTCGCGCCCCTGCAAAGAGCCAACAGTCAACTGTCCACGCGAATTTTTACTGCACTACTGGTTCAACCGATTCGCGGCTGTTATCTTTCCGGCGCTCCTGTCACCTCCCTCCCTTGCTGTCTTCTCTGTCTTTCTCTTTCACATTTTCTCTTCCTTTATCCATCTTGTGCCCTCTATCCCTCGTGTTATTCGCGCGGTTTTTCTATCTCGCCACCGTAGATCGGTCGCTTTGTGTCTATCCCCTCTACCGCGAACGACAGCATACATCGCGAATTTGACACTGGAACATCGTGTCGCCCAGGAAGTGTCGCGCGTGTTTCGTAATCGTCTGCTAACGGAGTTGCACCGGCGATTCGAACAGGTGAGTCGAAAAACAAGATCGTCACGGTGTCAGTGATTGCTCCTCCCAAATCTGTGTCAGCGATCGGTACACCTGTTAGCATGAATCAGGCCTCGTAATTCGATCGTGTCGAATCGATAAAATCGAGAATTGACTTGTTCTCGTCGACCGACACGATGTTCGAAATATATATCGCGATGATCGTAGGTCGCCCCCTCCTGCGGCTGCTTCTCGCGGTTATCGATTCCGGTGTGAACGCGCCCTGTCTGGACAGTTATCTGGTCGTCTTTCTTACGCGCATCTTTCTTCTACGGGATCCAGTTTTTTGGATGATCAATATCGAGCCGCGTAAATATCGCTTAAGCGGCCATTGCGTTCTTTCGACGTTTCGTGTGCGTGTGGAGGAACCCTAAGGGCTATCGTCGCGTTCGCAGACGCGTGTCAGCAATTCGAGCGTGTTTTTGGTACCGTAGCTCGCGAGCAAAAGGTAATGAGCCTGTAATACAAATTAATTACACGCACTGTGACGACTGGCATTTAACATGAGAGTTTTTCATCCGAATGAACGTTCGTGTTATTGTTACGGATAATGTTTCGTCAATGTCTATACGTTGTAGGTCGTGGCGTTAGGGAAATGTTGTGATTAGAATTCGTATATTCGACACGTCTGAATACGTTTACCTGGTGGACGTCGGTCAGTTAATGGCGTTAGGTTATCTTGTTGCCTACGATTCGATGACTTATACGGAAGTAGCACGGGTAGTCTGACATATTTCTATATATATATATATATGTCGCATTTCTAATTCCACTCGATTATATGATGGTGTGAAACATGTATACGAAATCGTATATCTGGTATTAAAGTGATGAAATCGTATGTATAATATGACAATATTTTTATTCAATCTTCATGTTGTACAGGTGATGTAGAAAGCTTCTGAAACATCGAATATATAATCAAAGGATAGAATTTCTTAAGGGATATCGAAAACTATCTCGTGAATATCGGAATACCGAAGATAGTCGCATAATAACAAAAGCATAATAAAAATCTTGATCATATCTATGTCGAATGATAAGCTATACAGGATGTCGAAGTTTTTGAAATATTTAATATACGCATTGCGCCTAAAATCACGCATCGCAGTGATGAAATTTCATCTGTCATATAATAATCCCTATGTCGACCACATAAGTTGTATAAAATTTCATTTGTTATATAAAATAACAAATACATTTGAGGTAACGTTTCCATGATTATTTTAACAAGGTATTTCCTCTTTTTAAACATTTTTTTTTTTATTTTTCATATAAAATGTATAATCGAAATAATGATATTATTATGAAATTTTAGCACCTTTCTTGTAACCACATCCTAGAAAGTCTTGGAGATTAAGGCAGCCGCTGAATAATAGTTTGATATCACGGAACTTCATCCGTCAGTGATAAGTCCGAGCACGTCAAGTGTATTTCTGATCTTGAATGAAGTATCGCTTAAATACTGCATGTTTGAAACGTAGGGAGAACAACACGAGGAATCTGGGATAAAGCGAATATCATCTCAAATTGAGGAAAAGAGGTTTATATTCGTTTAGAAAACAAAACTGAGATACAGCTCTTTATTTACCGACAAGCAAATTTGCATATGAACATGTTTAAAATATCGCAAAGGTGTGTGTTATGAGTCAAGTATTTTTTGTATAGCTATTCTTTGGAAATACCTATTATTCGAAATTTCGGATATTTGTTAAACGTTTTACGTTTACCTTCGTCTAGGAAAAATAATTTTCATATTTTTGTAATTTCGTCTTTGTCGAATTTTCTATTTACGACAGCTTACTGTTATTTCGATTCGATGTTTCTCTTTACTTACTTATTTTTTGTTTTTTGCTTTTTTTTGTTTTTTTTTTTGTTTTTTAATAGAACAGAATAACGGAATTGTTGGTTACCGCAGCATTCAGCTTTTGAAAGGCCCTTCAAAAATCAGTCGCTATTAATTCTGTAGTAAAGGTTAAATCTCTTATTTTAAGTCTGCAGTTAGTCTTGCTACGCCATGGTCTTGTTGACCTTGATCTTTAAAACGGGATTTGCTTGACATCAGACAATTTTGTTTCTTCGTTAGCACGCTATTCTGCGAAAATTGTAGCAGCAATTTGTAAAACTTTATGTTACCATATTTTGTAATTATATATTTTTTGTTACAGGTATTTTTTTTTCATTTTAGAGATCGTTAAAAATTTTCTTTCGATTCTTTTGGTCCTTGGGCTTTGGATTCCTTTGTTCTTGCAAATCTCTATCATCCATGAAGTGGCTGTCGAACACTCGTTTATCATCTTAGGATAAATCTCCTATCTTGCCGGAGCAATTAATTAAAATTTTATCTCCATTAAAGGAACAGAATGCTCCTACTAATTAGTACCTTAAGAAGCCTTTTGCTTTGCACATAATTACTTAATAATGACTAATAAATTAAGGATGCATTCTCTTGTATATATCCTGCTCTTTCTCTTGTTTTTCACGTAATAGTTGCCGTCAGGCTGTCGGAAACATTGTTGTCTTTCCTTCAGGGTTAAAATAGTCATTATATGTTTTAATAACGCGTTCGCTCATTTATGTCCGGATTAATTGCATTCTCAATGTTTCAATATTAATTAAGTGAGTTTTGAATGGTGTTAGACGAATTTGTTATGAATCATAAAATTTTCATGTAGTTTGCATCATTCCTGTCTTGTGATAGTGTTATTAATTACATTTACGTGTTTAAAAAATTAAGCAAATTTTTAAAATGTTACACATTTTAAAACTTTGATTCGAATAATAGAAAAATGTTACGTTTGTATATTAGTAAAAAATAACACGAACAAGAATGCAATATTTTTTTAATATTCGCGATATTTTGAGCTTATGGCTAATATCAGAAAAATTTAACAATATACGTAATATTTTCAAAATATTTACTTGTTAAGTATAACGTGCAATGTTGGCAGTAATCAAACTCCACTAAACTATTAGTAGGTAGAATGAATGGCTACTAAATTAAAAAATCCAACAAAGAAAGATCAATATTTTAGTGAAGTTATACTAATCATTTAGATACACACGGTGCATTAATTCACAGTTCTTCTCGTGATTTCTTTTCAATAGACATCTACACATTTTGTAATAATTATATATCTAAATTTCTTCAAATATCACCGACATACTTCTACCAATATAGTGTACCGTTAACAACATTTCAATTAATAACATTTAACATTGGAAGTAATAACTATAACATGTACTAAAATATACTATACTATTATACTATAGTATATTATACATTACAGTAGTCGATTTCAGTCGTTCAAAAGTTTTCGTGAGTTTTCTGGCGCCTAACGTGCCTTCACCAGTGTTTTGTTCCAAAACAGTTAACGAAATATGTACGAGTCCCTTTTCTATTTCAACCTTTCGTTCGTTTCTTCCTAATCGACAACAGTCTCGAGGGGACTGGGATGACCCTGATCTCTCGAAAAGGATTATTCGGTCGTGACGTCAGGCTACCTACGCGGCTATCAGATTGCCAGGAGTCGCTTCGGTTTCGTTGGGACTTATCGATTGGCCAGGTGAACACGACCAACAGGTTTACACCTGTGTACGTGCATGCAAGGAGGCTAGAGATCAGTGGTGGTTCGCGGGCCCGATTCACGCGAGCCGTTGATGATACATAATAGGTACGTACCTGGCGGAGCCAGGTCGTCGGGATGCCACTGCAGTACTCGATCAGACGTTAAGCTGCTCCAGCATATTTCCAGTAATCGAAATTTGTCGGTGCCCACGGCTTTTCCGAGGGTTTGCGACATCCCTAAATTAATGGGGCGTGAGATCGATGAATTTATGGCGGTATGAACGGGATATTTATCTTTATTTTCGAACATTTATCCGGTGCTCGTGTACATGGTACTTCATGTTTCAGAGCTCATGGCTCGTTCGATTGTTAATTGTGGAAGTTCTGCAAATTATGGTGCTTAAGTGGTTGGTTTAGTTTATGAGGTACTTCAGTGGGGTGAAATTTTGATGAGGTAGTTTAATCCTCTATGACAAGTGACTCGAGAGTTATATTTTTGCTTTTTGTGTAGATATAGTATAGTTATTTAGTATTTATTAGTTATTGATAATTGTTATAATTTTAATCTGTGGACTTATTACTTTCTTATTGTGTTGTATTGGTATGTTCTCCAAGGATTATCTATAAGTTCTTTTAAATATTAATTTGTGTACTTATTATTTTATTATTGGGTTTTATTAGTGAGTCTCATTTATCATAATTACTTATTTATTTATTTATAATATCGTAATATTTATTAATTCCTACACTTTCTAAATTTCAGGTTAAAGTAGAAAACTGAATTGAGTTATAGTGTTTTTCCTCATAATTATTATACAAAATTCTAATCGTGGTAATAGTGGTGATAGAGAATTAGAAGAAATGACAGACGATTAAAGATAAATTGTGTTCGTGTATATGAACGTTTAATAACTATGGTACTTGTACTATGATTTTGATATACGAAATAGTCTCGAAATCAGAAGGTAGTTACGATGATAATTTAGCTGCAATTGTATAGTTATTTATAGTTTTATGATTCGCTATTATTTAGAGTGTTAATTAATTCTTAGTTGATGTTATCAAGTGATAATAATTGATTTCAAATTTCGTAATTAATGGAAAGCTTTGCTACCATTGTGATATAGGGCGAAGTACGATATCCTATGGGATAATTATGATAAATGATAAATGATACGTGCAGGTACATTCACGCATGTCCCTTATATATATATCCTATACACATATATATCTCTACTAAACCGTTTTACTTAAACCACTTTATTACCGTAAACCCCATTAGAGAATTTAAGCATTTAGTACGAGCTTTTAGTCTCCAATTTGGTATTTGTAACGAACATCTTTAACAACCATTTTGGTATCTCGTGTGAATTTCATTTATAGTTTAACAATGTAATTGCAGATTATTCATTTA